TTTTCTTCATCACCTTTGTTCCAATTTGCCATACTATTTTTCTAAATGCATATTTATGTCTCAAAGATGTTGAGAAGATGAAGAGAGAAGATGATGATGATTATGATAGTGGTGGTGGTGATGATAAAGAAAGAGGATGAGGATGATGAACTGAATGTCTTCTTGCTTTTTTTTTTAACCAAATTTTGTTTCTAATCAATAAGTAATTTTGATTTAAACTAAGGATCAGGAGGAGGAGAAGAAAGAGGAGGAAGAGAAGTTGAAGCAGGAGGAGAATGAAGATAGTGAGGAGGAGGATAAAGGGAGAGGTGAAGGAAGAAGAGGAGGAAGAGGAAGATGAAGGGAGGATGATAATGATGACAAAAAAAATAGATGATGATATGAGGAGGATAATGACAATGTTGATGATAACGACGACAAAGAAAAAGATGATGAGGATGATGATGATGACGGCAATGAAGAAAAAGATGATGATGAGGAGGAGGAGGAGGATGAAGATGATGAACTGAATTTCTTGATGCTTTTTTTAACCAAATTGTTTGTGTTGTTTCTAATCAATAAGCAATTTAAATTTTTCCATGATCCATCAGGTTTGATTAGTGAAGGGAAGCTTTTTTTTACCCCTCACATTCTTTTTGCAAATCTCGCTTCAATATTCTAAGATGTAAATGCCAATATGAATGCAGACATCAGTGTAAGCAGAAATGTAGACAAATTTAATGGTTATAAGTGCACTGGTAATTGATCTTTTGGAAACTGTAAAAGAAAACAATGGCTAAAATGATCGATTGATCATAGAATCAATGGGAGATTAAGGTTTTACTATTTGAGAGTATTTCTGAGTGCCCGACATTTTTACTGGGTCTTTTGCAGAAACTGGAGCCAGAAAAATCAAATTAGATGACCAAAGAATGATTGATATCTGAAATCATACACATGAAAGGGGAGGATGAAATAAAAAAGAAAGTTAAATGGAATTTAAAATTGCTATCTCCTTTGCGAACCATCTTTTTGAAAACTATTTTATCTCCATATATGTTTAATCTATTTTCATTGGTTTCAATCTGTCTACCGAAATATAACTACCTTGTCTGTATATGTCAGTAAATACTTAATCAGAACATCTTCTTTTTTTTTTTTTTACTAAGTTCAACCAAAAATCTTAGAGCCACTCAAAGTAGAAAGTTACTGAATGAGGTGTGTTGAATGAATGTCAAAGGGAGAAATAGGAAGTGAAGATGGGGAGGACAATTTTTTTTTTTTTTACTTTTTATTTAATCGGTATCATCCCATGCAAGGTAGTAAAGCCACTAAAACACAATAGGTTACTGGGTGTGGAAGAATTAGGAACAGAAACATTAATAATGAGCGGGAAGAGTTATCAGGAGGACAGTAGAAAGCGATTGACATTGCATTTTAATTTTTGCAGGTTAAAGTTTGCTGGAATGCATGGAGATGGAAGGCAGCTCCACGAGTGAGAAGTCTGAGATAAAAAAAACTGTTGTTAACATAGAATTTATGATTACATCTCGCCAGCTCAATTTGAAATTTCAAAATTGATGAGATCTCAACACCCATCTAGTACTGCACTTAAATTACTTAAATTACATGATGAGATATTCATTTTTGCCTACTGTCAGCATCGCTAGTTCTAACCTCCAGGAGAATGACTTCTCATGCTAACATTCTTGGCTGACATAAAGTGGAAAAATTGTACTGAATCCATTGTTAGGTCAGCTGCTAAGAAAGTTAGCTCACTGTTTCATGTGAAACAAATTTTCTATCTTACATATCAATAAATCTACTGTTCATCCATGCTTAGAATATTGCTGCCGCATATGGTCCAGTGCTCCTGCTATATATTTAGAGATTCTTGATAAAATCCAAAGAAGAATCAGCAATATTATTGGTCTTGACCTGGCATCTCAGCTTCAGTCATTTTTCCACCACTATAAAGTTGCTTCTCTGTGTCTTTTCTATGAATACTTTTATGATAATTGTTTAAATGAGTTCTTTGCTATAGTACCTAGACTTTAAGTAATGCTTCTGCTTTCTATTTTTTCCAGTAACTGCTTGTGTATTAGTGATTTTACTACCTTGCTTCAGGGTAAATCTGATGAAAAAAAAGTGAAAGCTAACCACCAGGAGAATGGCTTGTTTCACTTTCTCAGGCTAATGTTTTCGGCTGACATGAAGTGAAAAGACTATATTGAATCAATTGCTAGGTCAGCTGCTAAGAGAATTGGTTCACTAGAATATTGCTTCTTTGTGCCTTTTCTATAAATACTTTCATGATAATTGTTCAAATGAACTCTTAGCTATGGTACCTACACTTTAAATTTAAGTGTAGTAATAGATTAGCAACAAGGTCTCACTAATTTACAGTTGAATTTCTTTTTTTGTACTTCTCACTTGTGGAACTATTTTCCAGCTCCATATCACATACACAGGGTTGACATCCACATTTCTTTTGAATCCCATTGGCAAGGGTGAAGTTCTACTTAGCTTGTTCCCCAGAACTTTCTGGAACAGACTTCCAAGAGTATGCTTCTCTGATCACTATAACATTAACCTCTTCAAGTCTAGGGTCAACCAATATCTATCTTCCATATCCTTATAATATGCTCCCCATGTATCAAGCATGATACATGTTTGGGCGATCATGTCTTTTTTTATTAATGACTAAGCAGAATATTTCTCACAGTAGGCTCCATTTTTTTCTGCAGTATACTGGTTGCCAACCAAGGCTGTAGGGCCTAGTCTGTCCTGCTATTTATCCCATAGCTGGAAGGAAAGTAGATTGATTCATACTTTTCCTAAGGCGTAAGTGAATGTAATAAACCCAACTGGAATTTGAACTCAGCGCTCCAATTTTTCATTCTCCTGTTATCCATTACACTATACTGCACATGTTCACTTACAACCACCATTCAGTAATCCTCTACCTTGAGCAGATCTTGGGCCTTATATCAAGTTAATAACTGTATAAAAAAAATTGCATGTTTTCTGGTGTTACTTTTTTCCTTTAAATGTTAATCGATATTTAAAGAACCAATGTTAAGAATATTAGAAGAATTAACACTCAGCATTGGAGGTATGGTGGAGTAATGGATAGTGGCTCAGATTGAGGAATCGGAGAGCTGAGTTCGAATTGCAGTAAAATCCATTACATTCACTTACGTGCTAATACCCTTGGGAAAGGTATGAATCCTCTTCTTCTCCCTCCATCTATGGGTCAATAGCAGGACAAACCAGGTTCTATAGCCTTGGATGGCAACTGGTTTACCACAGAAAGAAATGGCAACCTATTGCGGGAAAAAAATCTGCCTCATCAGTCATGTATTGAAAGATACAGGATTGCCTAAGTGTGTATCACACATGGACATGTGGCACATAACTGACTGAACGTTAAGAAGAATGGGCCATATTATGGAAAGGTGAGGCTCAGCCACTGTTAAAAGATTTCATTCAAGACTATAAACCTAAAGCAAACTTTAATAGGATTACAAATTATAGAGGAAAAGTTGTTCCTGTTTCATTACTGGCAATTATGGAATGAAAGTAAAGAGTGCTAAACAGCTATGTCAAATCTATCTTCATAGTGAATGTGGGAAAATCTTCTCAGAGAGATGTAGTTCTACTGATGGATAGTGAGAATGCCATGGAAGAGCCACTCAAGGTAGAGGGTTACATAGTAAAACATACAATTTATGGGGAGATATGTGGAACATAATAGTTATCCCTAGACTTGAACAGGTCAAGATTGTATTGATCAGCAAATCATCCACTTCAGAGTTGGTTCCACAAAGCAACAGTTTGTGGGAAGATACAGCACAAGTGGAAGTTACATCTCACCAATGGAAAACAAAGGGAATGAGGGTGGTTCACTACAATGTGCATAGAATGGTGGGTCTTACCCGTGAAGATTAGACCTAGTGGAACTATAGAATGTAGTTTGTCTGATCGCTTTCCATAGAAATATCAGTAGATCAATGCAACATTTTGTCTATAGGAAAGGATACAGAGACATTTTTGAACTCTGTTAAAACTGGAATGTGAAGACAGATGTTAAGCTCCTATCTATATATGGTATCGGGTGTCTGTCGAACTCTCCGCTTTCAGAGAGGAACCCGGACAAAGCTCCGCCGAAGGGTAGGGTTTTGTTGGGGGAGGTTGACAAAACTGGCCCGCCTTGGCGGGTTTGGATGGTTATTTATTTTTGGCTCAGAGATACCCACATTAAAAAGGCCTTGTGCCACATTCGATCCCCGTGGGTGGATTGATAAATACCATACCATCTATATATGGTATCAGTGCTCCCTTTTTTGGCCTTATCTGGCTCTTGAAATTATAGAGAATAGCTGGAGAAGTCAGGTACTTGCTGGTGCATTACAGTGAACTGGCCATTTTTCTAGTATCTTTAATGATGGACAATATGCATAAAATCAGTAAAAGACATTTGACATTTCTGGGACACATTATGAGGAAAGACGACTCAGAAAATTTAACACCTGTAGGAGATATTGAAGGAAGGATGTGCAAAGAGAAATAGAGGGTAACCTACTTAAAGGATTTATGTGAATGAATGACAAAGAGGGGACAAACATGAATCAAATATTTCTTAGAGCAACAAGGAACAGGAAGTTGTGGAGAGCCATGATCACCTATGTGCTCAAGTGATACAGGTCATACAAAAAGTAAGGAATACCGAACATACAAAAGACAATAATAATTTATATTTATATTATGTAGATTTTTATAGCTTTTAGAAGAACACTAATGTACTGACTGATAATAGGCATACAAAGGTTGTATTGTATCTGTCTTGCCATTGGAGAAGACTTGCCTACCTTGAAACTCAGCATAGATGTGAACAGAGAAAGATAGGCAAAAGCAAATTCGGATAAACAGACAAGTATAAAGAGAGGTATGTTTTGGGTATTTTACAAGTTCACAAATGCATTAGAGGCTATTGTATAAATCAACATTTGAAATCCAACCTGAGAGTGTGTGGAAGAGGAAAAGACAGAAAGACAGATAACACAAAGTGATATACATGAACAGTTTGAATTGGTTAAGCAAGAGTATATGATATGAACAAAAACAGACAGACAGACAGATAGATAGATAGATAGATAGATAGATAGATAGATAGGGACATTCAGTGAAAAACTGATAGATATAAAGAGAGATTTGAATAAAGTTGGCCTGATATGAACAAATTAAACTATCTAGATTGCTATTATTTATTTTAGGATATTGTTACATACCATACCTATGAACACTAATAGGTATGTCCCAATCCTCATAAATATGTTGGGCACTACTGCAAGTGGGAGTAATATGCTGTCTAAATAGTCCACCACTAGCAGTGACTTACCTACTTCATACCGCTGGCGAGTATTGTATTTTGTTGATGTGATAAAGATTACCATTTCATTTCCAACCTCCGTTTTGGTTATTCCTCATTCAGTAACCCTTTCTAGGTTACAACAGGTACTAAATCAAAAAGATGTTAAAAATTGCTTCACAATTGCGATCATGTTTTGAAGCATATCAATGCATCACCTCCAATTCATAGAGAATTAAAAAGTTTAAATCTTAAGGTTAAAATAACTGCTAATGTTAAACAGGCCGATTTTCTTGATGTTACATTAGATCTTCTTAATGATGTATTCCGACCTGATACGAAAAATAATTCTAACCCAATATATATTCACCCCAATTCTAACTATCCTCCATCTGTAATCAAACATATACCCTCATCTATAGAATGTAGAATTAGCATCTGACAAAGATGTGTTTGATAAATATAGCTGTGTTTATAATACTGTTTTAAAGAATAGTGGTTACAAGTATAGAAAATATGATAATAGTGGTCTAAAGAAAAGAAATAGAAATAGGAAAATCATTTGGCCACACACCTCCATTTAATCAATTGGTTAGTACTAAGTTAGGTCAGAAATTCCTCCATTTAATTGATAAACATTACCATAAAAGTAACCCTCTTAGTAAAATTTTTAACAGAAACTTATTAAAACAAAGTTATAGCTGCACTGATAATCTTGAGAAGATTATAAAGTTACACAATAATAAAATTTTAAACCAATTTAAAAATTTGGATTGTAATGCACATTCCATGATAAATACTATTGATAATACTAACCAATGTAATTGTAGGAATTCTGACCAATGCTCATTAACAAACAAATGTTTAACCAAATCTCTTGTTTAAGTACTATTTCTACAATTGATAATCTGACTGTAGATCTTTATATGAACCCTGTTATCTGTATTTACATGAAAAATTGGAAATTATCAAATTTTTTGATAAAAACTCCTTATTAAATCAAAGAAGTGAATTAATGGTAAATTGTACACATAGTTTACCTTACAATTTAGTTAAACTTTAGAATTTGAAATGCTTTTTATTATATTTTTAGTAAACGAACTGTGATGCACCTAATATGGCTTATTTTTCTGTTTGAGATTTAATATAGTTCTGTATTAATCTCCCATTAGTATTATTAACATTTTATATGGAGATACTGGTATTTAGTTAGTATTTTTAGCATTTTGCATTGATTGGTTGTCATATGTATGCTATTTACGTAACGGTTGCATATTAATTTGCCAATTAATTCTATACATTTAAATTATTTACTAGTTTCTTAAAGAGGTCTCTTATTTATCAACTACAAAAATTTTACATAAGAAACTCACAAAGCATATAACGAGTTAGCATTAGGCTAAATTATCTCCCTAACCACACCACCTTATTTCTTAGGAAAGTTGATTGTCTGATTTGTAATACACTTTATGAATTAATATAACCATCTGTATCAGTTTTAATATAATGTCTGCAATCTGTTTGCTGACAACTTCCTGTCATAACCCACTTCTAAATTTTTTTTTTTCTTTTTACTTAGTTTGAACTTAACATAGGTAATTTTCAATTGGTTCATCAAGGTAAAGCCCTCAAGCCTTTTTTTCTCAAAAAAAGAGGAGGTATTTTGCTTTTGAAATTAAATTAACTGTTCACTCGCCAGTAATTTACAATTCCCTGAGGAGATGCATTGATATGCGTCGAAACATGATCACAATTGTGTAGCGATTTTTAACTTGTTTTTGATTTAATATCCTAAAATAAATAATATTGCTCTACTTTGTACTGAGCCCTCTTTTAAATTAAATGTTACAAACGTTGGAATTGTACTCTATTTGTTCTCATCTCACCTGGATATCAAGATTGCTATAAAGAAATATCTGTATGAGATAGATAGATAGATAGATAGATAGATAGATAGCCATTAACAGAAATGGACTGAGATAGATAGATAGATAGATAGATAGATAGATAGATAGATAGATAGATATGAACAGATTGAGATAGATAGATAGATAGATAGATAGGAACAAACTGAAATAGATAGATAGATGGATAGATATAAAGAAAAAGAAACTGACATAGATAGAGATTGAGATAGATATATAGATAGAGATTGAGATAGATATGATGAAAACAGACTCAGATAGATAGATAGATAGATAGATAGATAGATAGGAACAAACTGAAATAGATAGATATAAAGAAAAAGAGACAAACATAGATAGAGATTGAGATAGATAGATATGAAGAAAACAGACAGATAGATAGGTAGATAAGAGAGAGATTAACATTAACAGAAATGAGCTGAGATATACAGATAGATAGATAGATAGATAGATAGATAGATAGATAGATAGATAGGAACAAACTGAAATAGATAAATAGATGGATAGATATAAAGAAAAAGAAACTGACATAGATAGAGATTGAGATAGATATAAAGAAAACAGACTCAGATAGATAGATAGATAGATAGATAGATAGATAGATAGATAGATATATATATAGATAGATAGATAGATAGGAGTTGGTTGTAATAGACAGATGTGATAAAAGTGGAGTTGATAGATTAGGCTCAAGATGAAAAAAACAGTTCGATAATTGTATAGAATCAGACTGAGTGTTTAACAATATGGAAAGGTAATTAAAATTAAATCATTGGATGAGTCTACTGGCTACTTCCATAGTCAGCAGTTTGGTTTCCTGGCTCAATATGTGTGAGGAACAATAGGTAAATACTAAGAAAGATAAGGGCCAGTAAAGAAACAATGAAGCAAGCAGAGAAAAGGTTTAGATCTACTAAATCATTATTGCATACCTGTACAGTGGGAATAAAAAGAGAATAGAAAGAAAAACAAATCTGTGCACCATAGAAGTTTTTTTAGTGGAATTCAAGCGAGCTTATAAATGCACCCAGTAAATAAAAAAGATCCAATTTCACCATCTATAAATATATATCGCGTGAGTTCAGGGTGGAGATGCTGATACCTAGTTTTAAAACAGCAGGTCTCTTTACTAACTTTCTCTGGAAGAAATATGTAGTTGGTTAAAGAAGAGCGGAGAGAAGGACGGGGTGAATGTGCAGGTAAGAATGATGGAAGATGGGTGGATAAGATTTGGGCAGGTATGTGGAAGATGGAGAGAGAGAGAGAGAGATGAAGAAGAACTGAGAGAGAGGGTAAGCTGTGAGAAGTTTGTGGGTGAGTCTGGATGGGCAGAGATTTAAAAAAAATATATTTTCACATATTCTGTGAATACTGGTATAAATGATGTGGAATATCTTGATGGGACTGTTTATTATATAGATGATGATGATGATGATGGGGATGCAATGAAATGATATTGATGATGATCACGATGGTCAGCATGATGAAAATGATGTCGATGATGATGATTGCAGTGGGGATGATGGTTGTGCTGGTGTTGAGGTTAAAAGTGATTAATGGTAGTAGAGGAAGTTATGGTTGTTGTGATGATGGTGGTAGTAAGATTGGTGTTAACAGATTATTGCAATTGTATTATGTCATATCTATTCTTCCTCAAGGCAGTGAATGGACATTTTTCTTCACATATGAAGAAGAGCCTTGAAACAAGAGAGATGTGGTTCTAAAGAAAGATACTGCAAACATAACGGACAGAATATATAAGAAAAAAGGAAGTTTTAATGAAAATTGAAGGATATCTTTTTTTTTTTTTATCATTTCATCTCAAGCAAGGCAATAAAGCCACTAGGACACAAGGGGTAAGTGAGTGTTAAAGAATATAAGAAAAATAACTACTATTAAGGAGAGAGAACAATAAAAGAACAAGAATTAAGAAGACAGAAGATAACAGTTGACATTGCATTTAAGTTTTTGAAGATCAAAGTTGACTGAGAAGCAAGAAACCAGAAGAGAGTTCCACAAGTGAGAAGTGTGAGAGAAGAAACTATTAACATAGAATTTGCAGTTACATCTTGCCATTTCAACTGTAAAATGATCAGACCAAGCTGCCAATCTAGCACTATGCTTAAATTCATAAAGTGTAAGTACCATTGTAGAAAGTTCATAATAACAGTTTGGTATGTTTTTCTTTGTTTCTAATGAAATTTTCCTATTTCTTAATACTTTGCCTAGATTTTGGAAGGCATCTTTCACTATCCCAATAATTACAATGAAAGTATTTAAAGAACAATTACCATGAAAGTATTTAAAGAAAAAGTGCTGGAAAGCTACATTTAATATATATAAAATCAGAAAGAATTTGGAATTTCTTAGACACATTGGAAAGAAATTGAACCTGGCATATTAACACATAAAGGACATACTGAAGGCAGATAAAAACAGCTAATATCCGACCTATAAGCTACAAGAGACAGGATGCTGTGGATAGCCATGATTGCTTATGTCGTATGCATAAAAGAGGATTAAGATTTATACTTCTGGCAGAAAACCACTTACATAGGGATAGAAAATGGATTCCATAAATATACATATATAGAAAGAAGTATAAAACAAGGTTATGTTTACACACCAGACACTTTCAATCTATACAGTGAGGTGATTCTGAAAGAATTAGAAGGCCTACCAGGATTCATTATTGGTGGTCATAATCTTAACAACATAAGATATGGAAATGATACAGTGCTGTTAGCAGATATAGAAAGGAAACTGCAATAACTCCTAGAGAAAGTAGTAAAGGAAAGTGAGAAGAAAGGACTAAACATCAATTGCAACAAGGTAGGATGTATGGTCATTAGCAAAAGGGAACAGCCTAACATTCAAATTACAAATTGGAGATAGCAAAATCAAACAAGTACAATAATTTAAATATCTGGTGTTTTAACAGAGGACTGAAAGTGCAACACTGAAATCTGAGAGAGTATTGGGATAGTGAAAGATGCCTTCCAAAATCTAGGCAAAGTATTAAGAAATAGGAAAATTTCATTAGAAACAAAGAAAAACATACCAAACTGTTATGTAATATCAGTCCTCCTATATGCCAGTGAATGCAGGATGAAGAAGTGACTTGAAGCAACAGAAATGTGGTTCTACAGAAGGATGCTGAGAATACTATAAATTGAACATGTGAGCAATGACAAAGTTTTTAACAAAATATAAAGAAAAAGGATACTCATACTTAACATCAGAAAGAAAAAATTTATACTTGCAGTATAGATTATGACATGTATCTCCAGTATTTGGGCGATCATGGTTCTCCACTATTTCCTGTTCTTTGTAGCTCTTAATAAATTTTGTCTTTTTGCAAGCTCACCAGGTAGGTTATGCTGTCTAGTGAGTATCAAATTTTCCAAACCCTCCTCCTCATTATGTGCCCAAGAAATTTCAGCTGTTTCTTTCTGATGTTAAATATAAGTATCTTTTTTGTTTCTATTTTCACTGGGAATCATGTAACTGTTTTTTTAACAAATATTTCAACGTTTTTCAGAAGGTGAGTCATCAAATGATTATAATCAACTTTATTTGTCATTCTATTTTAACTTCTATGGAAGGCCGAACACACACCAAAAAAAAACTAAAAAAAAAAAAAAAATGCAAAATAGCACTTTTTCCCTAATTAACAACCTATAACTATAAAACCATAGAAAATAGAAATACAGGAGTGTTTTTCCATATATTAAACTATAGGACTACCAAATATCAATTGGTATCTTTTTAGAGTGCAAGGTTATGAAGTACCAAATTTGGCAAATTGCGTTATTTTGAAATCAACAAAAACTGACACCAAATTTCAAGAGGCCATAATAATTCCTGAACTAAGTGTCTATGGAAGCCAAGATTTTAGGGTTTTTAGTTTCTCACAGGTGAGTACAACATACTAAATATTCTTCAAAATCTGTTATGGGAATTTCTCATGGGAATTTTTGAAAATTTTGTTGATATGGAATTACCCATTTATATATTAAAGTGCAGGGAGAATTATAGTTACAAGTATGGAATTTGTTTCCATCTGAATCTCTGGGATTAGGAGTTATCATTTCTTAACATTTAGATTAATGTCCTGATCTTTGTTGTTATTTCCACAACATTACAGTTCTTATGTTCTCCATCCTTCTTCAAGTTTAATTTGAGCCATGTAACCTTTAGGGAATTTCAAACTAACTTTATTGCACAAAAAGGACATAACATGACTATAATAGCAACAAGTGAACAGAATTTATTGGCTTGTTGTGATCAAATAAGACTTACGATTTTGTCTAATTTGTCTTCCCATCAGAGAGACTTTGTGGAATATTTCTGTAACTCAGTAATAGTCTCAGTAGTTAACTATCTATGGTGTCTCTGGATGGGGTAAATGCCTTCAACCCCATTTTCACCATCTGCACCATTCTTTCTGCACTTCCATTCGTTTGTGGGTGGCATAGCGGTGTTTTATAAGAGAGGCATCCAATTTGTTTTAACCATGAACATAAAGTTTAATCACAAAATTCTGGTGCATTGTCAGAAACTAACACTTTTGGCACACCATTTCTGGAAAAATATTTGCTTTATCGTGGCTGCTTTTCTATCCTGAACTCTAACCACTTCAGGTCATCAGGTCATCCAGAGAATGAGTCAACCAAAATTAAAAATAGTCCTAAGCATTTAACATGCACATGATCCTTATGAACGTGAGTCCATAGTTCTTTTTTCTTTAGACCATGGCAAAAGATTTTTATTTCCCTACATTTTGGGAATTTTTGTATGCATTTTTCTACATCATGCAAATAGCCAGGCCACCAATGGACATCATTATGTACACTTTCTATTAAGTCATTTCTTAATCTCTCTGGTGTTATTAAAACATGTTCATTGCATATAAAACCCTTTTCTATAGTTATCCCATGCCCTTATCTCTTTATAGGGTCTGTCTGCCTTAGAACAATCACCCTAATTGTTTCTTTTTATTTTACATGCAATCTTGTTTAATACCAGGTCCAGTAAGGTTTCAAATGCAAAACGATCTAAGGATAATACATCTGTTTCAATCCAGTGTAGCATTTTATTTTTTAAATTGTCTGATCTTTTTAATGGTTAATTGTTGAACTTTAGTATTGGCAGAACATTGTGTCTGATGAAATTCCATCTTTAGAAATCTTGTATCCAAGATATGTTATTTTATTGCAATTTAACATAGAGTTATCCTTGTTTATCCATGTTATATTCTGTGCTAATAGGAATATATGCTTGAAAAACAAGGTGGATAAAATAAATAAAGGTTTATTATAAAAAGCCAGTATAATAAAATAAAATTAACAGTTATGCACAAGGTTGTCGCAAATCAATCCAATAGTGATGCTACTATTGGAAGGTTGGTAGTTCTCATGTAAGTTTGAGTCATACTCAACAGATAGTCAGTATTTACCAGCCTCTTCACAATTATAATGTGGGGCAAAATGAGCCTGTAGGCTCAGCCAAAAATTCCCCATAACCCTGCATAAACGGGTTCGGGTCTGTCTACCTCCCCGGATGAGACTCTGCACTTCAGCATAGCCTCATCCAGTTTCCTCTCTGCCCGAAGACAGAGAGTTTAACAGCAGCTAAGAACTGAATAACAGATCCCAGCTAGTATATATTTACTAACCTCCCCACACAATCAGATGTGGCACAAGGCTGGGTTTAATGTGGGGCATCTGAGCCCGTAGGCTCAGCCAAAAATTCCTGTAGACCCTGTATAAAATGGGGTCAGATAGCTGTTTCCCAAGACAAGACTCTGCCCTTTGGCATAGCCTTGACTGGAGATCCTATCTGCTCAGAGGCAGAGAGTTTGACCAACACAGTTGGAAAAGATTCCAGCTAGGCTCTGTAGTCAGTTGACTTACAGCTACTTATAGAAAGTTACTACCTATAGTGTAGTCACTCATGGGGGTGCCAGGTTATTCCATTACATCA